CCTGTTTGTTTCCTCTCCACCTATCCTCTCCTCTATCCATCTTCTATCCGCCTCCCACTCTCTCCCTATTTATTTCAGAGCCCCCTTCCCCTCCCCCTTTTCTGATGAAGGGTCTAGGCCGAAACGTCAGCCTTTCTGCTCCTATGATACTGCTTGGCCTGCTGTGTTCATCCAGCCCTGAACCTTATTGTCTCAATGTATTGACCATATCTGGTTTGGCCAACATTCTAGAGTCAATGCAATTGGCTCTTAACTGTCCTCTGGACAAGTGAGGATGGGCAGTAAATGCCAGGCTAACCAGTAATGCCCTCACCCATGAAATTTTTTTTTAAAAATTACAACCAAATTCTCCACCCCCTGATTGTCAAAGGTTGCAAACTTGAATGGTGGCCAATTAGTTTAGACTAGTAAATGAAAGCTCTTATTGTTGACAGTTATTATTTATGGTTTTTTTAATCTTGTTTAATCTGGTTTATTTATCTTGCCCAAGGATACCATGCTGTCCATGCGGTGTATGGAGAACCCGTCAGCTTGCAGGGCACAATGGGGAATGAGTCAAGTCTCCATGATGCAGAGCACGCAACAGTGACCCGGACCAATACAGAAAGTCCAGATATGACCTTCGCAAAGCCATCAGGGAGGCCAGAGGGTACCATATCCCCAGCCCTGCATTCTTCACTGGAGAATCTGGACAACAAAGACACCTATGTCAGACTCCTACTCGTTGACTACAGCGCCCCCTCCACACTGATCTCAAAACTGCGTGAGCTAGGTCTCGGCTTCGCCCTCTGCAACTGGATCCTCAGCTTTCTGATCCACAGACTGCAATCAGTGAGGATGCATTACTGCACCTTCTCCACAATAACACTCAACACTGGAGACCCCCCAAGCATCTGTCTTCAACCTCCTACTGTACTCCCTGTACACCTACAACTGTGTTGCCAAATTCCGAATGTATGCCATCTGCAAGTTTGCTGACAACACCACCATAGTGGGACAGATATCTAACAATGACAAGTCAAAATACAGAAGGGAGATAGAGGGCTTGGTGACGTGGTGCAATGAAAACAATCTGTCCCTCAACGTCAGCAAAACTAAAGAACTGATCATTGACTTCAGAAAGAAAAGAGGAGAACATGCCCCCATCTACATCAACGGAACTGAAGTTGAGAGGGTGAAGAGCATCAAGTTCCTCAGTGATGATAACTGACAACCTGTCCTGGACTTCCCACAGAGATGTGACAGTCAAGAAGGCATAACAACACCACTTCTTCCTCAGGTGTCTCAGGAAATTTGGCATGTCCATAAGGACCCTAACCAACTTCTACAGATACACCATTAAAAGCATACCGTCTGTGTGTATAACGGCCTGGTATGGCAACTACTCTGCCCAGGACCGTAAGTAACTACAGAAGTTTGTGTGCACAGCTCAGACTATCACGGAAGGCAAACTTCCATCCATGGACTCCATTTACACAGCTCGTTGCTGTGGAAGGCGGCCAACAACATCAAAGACCCATTACACCCCAGTAATAGTCCCCTACAACCTCTTCCCTCAGGTAGAAGATACAGAAGCCTGGACACAAGCTCAAGCAGGTTCAGGAACAGCTTCGTCCTGGCCCTTATCTGACTGCTGAATGGACTCTAGCCTCAAATAATGTAACCTGTATGCCTCAATGTCTTTTTGATCTGTACGTCCTTTGCTTGCTGGTATCAGCCTGTACTGCTCATGAACTAAGCTTTTCACTGGGTTTCGGTACAGGTGACAATAAAATCAATCAATCAATCAATGGTCAGTTAACGTGTAGATGAATTTGACATATTGATTAATATATATTTGGGAAATCAGGGTATTGATAGGAATTCTGCCATTATCCAACTGTGCTGCTCTGTCCATCAGTACTTGTAGGCCAGCTGTCATTGCAAAGTCACAACTAGTTGGCAATTTCCTGGAATCGTCCACCAAACTGGCATAGACTTATATGACTGTTCATTCACTATTGCTGGGTTAAAATCTTGCAACTCCCTCCCTAATGAACTGAGTGTTTTTATACCACATAGACTGCAGTAATTCAAGAAGGCAGCTCACCCCCACCTGCTGAAGAGCAATTACTGGGCAAAAAACTGTTGGCTTTACCTGCAACTTCATAGAATCCCTACAGTGTGGAAACAGGCCCTTTGGCCCAACAAGTTCACACCAACCCTTGGAGCATCCTACCCAGACCCATCCCCCTATAACCCACACATCCCTGAACACTATGGGCAATTTAGCATAGCCAATCCACCCAGCCTGCTCATCTTTGGACTGTGGGAGGAAACCCACATAGACACAGGGAGAATGTGCAAACTCCACACAGACAGTTGCCTGAGGGTGGAATTGAACCTGGGTCCCTGGCACTATGAGGTAGCAGTGCTAACCACTGAGCCACCGTGCCACAACATTCATCAATGGATTTAAAATAAAGTTTTCAAGATTATGCAGTGATGGAAGTTCTTAGTATGAAAAGTCCCCAAACAGTTGCCAATAAATCTTAAAATGATTCTGTCCACTTATGTGCCTAGCACAGAAAGCTCCATAAAAAGCTTATCAACAAAAACTATTTGTTCTCCATCCTACATTGCTACTTGATATGCCTGTGTTCAGGAAGTAATTTGAAGAACAATGTAGAACCTTTAATTTGGATCAGCATAAGTAATGCCTTTCAAATCAAACTAAGTCTCCTTACAAGCAAAATCTTTGTTCCCATATTTCTTGGTGTGAACATTTTCTGTAACTGGGGGACAATTTGATTACCTTGCCAGCCTACAAATGTCTTTACCAAAACCAACAAGTGACACCTGAATTAACCCGGTTAAAATTTATGAAAGACAGACAGGAAACTATAATAAATAACAAAAAAACAAAGGCTTGGAATGTAAAAACGGAATGTAAGTAATAATTAATATAAATATTTTAGGATTAGTCAATACATACAGAAAATTGGCACCTTTTACTGACAATTGCAAATAGAATTTTAATAGAAGTAAAGATTGAAATGTTTGGTGGCTGTTTTAATATATCAAATTAACAAATGCAATTTTGCACTTCACCAGTACCAATAAGTTTAAAAAAAATGTACTCATTCTGGAAACATTACATGATATCTTGTTGGAAAAGTGCAAGCAAGCAAGACGGTCAGTTATGTATGTGGGTGTAGATAAAGCTCAGAATATAGTGGGAAATAATACACAAAAACCCTTGAGAAAATCTTTCTGTAGTTACGAAACAATATTTAACTGTAACTTTTCAATCTCACTCTAGTTTCAGGTGGATTTTGACCTTTGCGGCAGCTAGGTAGTGAAAGAGTTAAAAAGGTTGTAGTGAGTTTGCCATCTGATTTCCACACCAGCACCATATTTACTGAAATTTTCACAGTAGGAGTCACAACATTGTATAACATACCACATAGGACACCAGAACAGTTTCATAGGACAGTACAATGGAGCACACACTATACACGCTCAGCCTTCTGCTTACATTACATGGTGATGAGGAAGCAGGCCCTCCAAAGTAGCTAAGTTTTGTAGAGCTGAGATGGGCAGGGCTAGCTTCCTGATGGACCTCACTCTGCAATTGGCACCTCTGCCATGTCTCAGAATGACCTTTCTGCTGACTGAATCAGCCTCTGAGACTTTCAGTACTGTGGTATGCAGAGTCTGCAAAATGATAATAAAGGACCAGCTATGAAAATAAACCCGGCCTCCTACAGTAGAAATGGACAGTCAGCTGACCCAGTCTCTGAGCCAGAGTAAAACCAATTCTGGAGCCTCTTCATTTTGTTAATGTTAATGATTATGTTAAAGTTTTATGTATTTTTGGAGGGAATTACTTTGGGGGGCTGTTTTAAAACTATAGAAATGACCCCAGCTTCTAGTTTCTTCAACACACGACCATGTTCCCAATATCTCTGTATCAGGCCTGCTTCGGTGCTTCAGTTGGTGGAACAACACCTCATATTCCACCAAGGCACCATACAGCCTGTGTGTCTCATAAATTGGGTTTAACAATTTCAATGTGTGAACATGTTTGTTACTCATGCCCCCACCTCTGGTCCTGTTCTTTATAGCATGGTCCCAGCACAGACAAACCATTTCTAACTACTCACAATGGCCATTATCACTTATTCAGCTTCTTTTCTACTTTGACACACTCCTTACCTATTGCCCTCCATCTACATCATCAGCATAAATATCACCCTTTTCCAGATGATTTCAGTTCTGACAAAGGGTCACTGGACTCGGAAGGTTAACTCTGTTTTCTCTGCACAAATGTTGCCAGGCCTGCTGTGTTTCTCTGGCACTTTCTGGTTTTACCGGTTTTAATGATGTTTTTGCCACAATTTTCTGTTCACATCTTTACAAGGGCACCGCTGATGTGGAAAATCATTAAGGAGCAGGACAGACAGGATAATGTTTAAACACATATAACCTCACTTGTCCAGAACACCCTGCCTTCCCTTCTATCCGAAATTAATTTCTCATACTTAGCTGACTGTTGGCAGATGACCAATGTCCACCTAATGTTCCAAAAGTAGGAAGCGGACACCTGCACACATCCAGCCCATTCCATGACCCAAACAGATTAGCAAAAGGGCCCTGCATCTTAAGTTATATTGCAGTGGGAGGGCAAGGAACAATCTGAAAAACTAGCAGTTTCCTCAAAATCTCTCTGATGTTTAAACATAAAGCTAAGCATTTGGCGACAAAGTTTTTTTTTGACACACTGATAAAGTTGGCAAGGCAGTCAAGAGTAAAACTTGTCATAACGTCATGTAAATAAACGAAACTGTAATCTAATACTTGCACAATGATGACACACTGTACCATTTCTGATTGGCGCCTATTGTGTTTCTACAATCCAGGAGCCCACATTGCACACCAATGAAAGAAGCAGAAACTTTTAAGTAAGGTGTGGCTGAATATTTCAGGCTCTCTTTCTCCTGTAACCAGCAGATATCAGAAACCAGAAGACTGTGTGCAAGGAATAATCACTATCTGATCTAAATCTACCGTTATCGGAAACAGTTTAGAAATGTTCCAAAGCATGATTCTGTACGTGGTTCCCATTTTCTGCACACTATCTATCAATACACTACTTGCTTGTGATATCCTTGATGATTTTGACAACACCAGGGATCCAGGAGACATCATCATTGGAGGTCTCATCCCAGTACACGAGAAGGTTGTAACTGCCACAAATCCAGAGAGTCAAAAATGTACAGGGTAAGTGATTGATTTAAAATGTAACAAAGAAATTATAAGCATTTAATAATAATTGGTATTATTGAGTGTAATTGGTATTAAAAAATATCATTTTAAATTAAAAGTAGTCTTTAATAGATTAATACATTATCTTAAATTCAGTATTGTGATATAGGGTTCCTGAGTGTAGAGTTGAACGGGAAGCATTTGGCTCATTATAATGCATGTTGTAACCTAAGTAGATATTTTGAACAATTCTCAAAACTTTCAGATGTGTATAAAAAAATGATAAATTTACATAAAAATAAAAATCCTGATGGATCAAATTACTTAAATCATTTTGCTTTACAATAGAAATGAAGATACTGTGTTAAAAAAAAGTCAGATCAAACCCATTGAATATCATTCGAGTGTAGGTTTAGATTGGTTTACATTCCATGGCAACACAAAGTTACATAGGACAATAAATTTCATGCTATTTGTTGCTGTGATCCATCTGATCCTGTAAGCCGTTTATGAGATTAGAACGCTTAATGAACAAGGAAGTTGTTTAATTAATTTATACACTGAAACAACCAGATTGTTTTTCCATAGGACAGGAGGGTGCTAGCATCTGTTTATGATTAATCACGGTGTTCTGTGTAGTGGTTTGACGCAACTAAGTGGTTAGTACAAGGCTATTTAAAAGGACTGATAAGAGTCAAACCAATTGACGTAGAATTTTTTGGCCTTAATATCCTTTGTAGAATTTCTGACTTTACTATACGTACAATTAATGCAATATTTAAAATTGTCATCCTTAATCCAAGCTCTTCATGGCCTTATCCTTCCCAATCTCTGTAACTTTATACACCCCATAAAACTTACAAGATATTGCCATTTGTCCAGATCTGACAACTTGGATATCCCTGTACTCCATTACTGCAAAACTATTCCTTCAACAACCTGGGCAATATGCTCTGGAAACTTTGACTTTATAATCTGCTTCATTCTTTAATGTATATTCATTTGACCAAGTCATTTTGATCAACTGACTTTATTGCATTATGTGGCTCTGTGTCAAATCTTGCCCTTTTTTTATTCTTTCATGGGAAAGTGGTGTCTCTGACAAGATGAGCACTTACTGCTCATTCCTAAGGTATGAACATGTACTCTAGGCTGACAGCTCTATGTAGCAGTGAAAGAGTGTTGCATTTCAGTGACACCATGTTTTGTTTAAGACATTAAACCATTGGCCTCTCTGCACTCTCTAATGGATTATAAAACATTAAATGAACCCATTTGATGAAGGAAAGAGAAATTCTTTTGGCATTCATGGCTACTGCTTATCCTTTAAACAAGCCCAAAAAGCAGAGAATCTGGTCGTTTCTTTAATTTCTACAGTGGAACCTTGATGAGTTGTCACAATTGTGTGAGGGGGGAATGAATCAGATTCTATACTTTTAGTCCATGTAGTTGGATGCAACAAAGGTTTTTGATCTTTATTAGTTACAGCTATATTATACATTAGTTAAAATGAAGTATCATACAAAATTTAAGGAGTCAATTACAACGTTTCTTTAAGCAAAAGAAATATATATTTTTTAAACTTGCTAATCCCAAAAAAAAACATGACATGAAACATTTTCACACAGAGGGTGGTGCATATATAGAATGAGCTGCCAGAGGAAGTGCTGATGGTGGGTGCAATTACAACATTTAATAGACATTTGGACAGATACATGGATAAGAAAGGTTTGGAAGGATATGGGCCAAACATAGGCAAATGGGGCTAATTCAGTTTCGGAAACCTGGTCAGCATGTACAGTTTGGGCTGAAGGGCCTGTTTCCGTGCTGTATGACTCTACAGGACTTCCATACAAACACCGGTATAAAGTTTAAAAATGGGAGAGCACTTAAGTAAAAAAAAAATCAAGAATATGCTGTTTAAAATGTCCTTATAGAGTCTCTGAGGTGCCAGGTTTAACCTGAGACCATAGTTGGTGAATCAATGATTTGAACCCACTGCAAATTTTGTAGTTGTTTTTGAGTTCTAGATGAATGGATACTTCATTGATTTGTTTTACACTGGCACTGTTGAGAGTCTAAAAGAAAAACATTAAAACTAAGAGACTAAGGTCTCCAGCTCTACTGTTGAAAATCTATCTTTTTTTTCCACTGTCTTTCCCTCTCTGTATAAAACATGTTACTTGAAATACAGTTCTCCCGTGTATTCCTGTTTCTGGCTTCATTTTTGTTTCCTCAATCTGGATAATTTGCATGTGACATTTCATCCCAATGTGTACAACTTCTGGAAAGGTATAAATCAAACAAGTGATACAGATCTGAGTGACAACCAATTTACTGATATACCAATTTTGTTGCAAACTGGGTCATGATAATTTCATAAGCCTGGGTCAACCTGGTCAGGTTTTTTTTTACCTAAATTAGTGTTTTTTTGTTAAACACTTTAGTCAATCAAAGGTCCCAGGCATTAAAATTCGGGTGACAAGTCAAAAATTGATCGCCTATTTTTGCAACAATAATAACAATGTATAAATTTATTGCTGTATTTCCAACATCATATCAGCAACTATGCATAAAAAGTACTTCATTGACGACAAAATAATTTGGGATTTTCTTAAGCTATGAAAGGTACTACATTGGTGAAAGTAGGAGCAAATTACTGCAGATAATGGAATCTGTACTGACAACAAAAAAAAACATGCTGCAAATCACAGGTTATCAGGCAGCATCTGTGGAGAGAGAACAATCTAATGTTTTGAGCCTTGGTCAGAGCTCTGATGAAGAGTCATCTACACTTGAAACGTTAGCTTGCTCTCACTCCTTGGATACTGCCTAACTTGCTGTGATTTCCAGCATTTTTTGGTTTTCACTGCACTGGTGAAAGTTCTTTCTTTCTAGTAGCAACAGTGGTAAATAATAACAATAGCAGAAATCATAATAATATTTTACATCTCAAATAGTAGTATTAAAATGATCACAATCATAGCAATATAATGTTAGATTATAGGAATAATATCATACATTTATTAGATAACTTATTATTTACATTTCTGTTTCCTTTACACTCTGATGTGCAGATATGATGTCCGAGGCTTGGTAAAAACCCTTGCCTTGATCCACTCCATAGAGATGGTAAATAATTCAACTCTATTACCTGGAATCAAACTGGGTTATGAAATATATGACACTTGCACGGATCCTACAAAGGCAATAAAAGCAACCCTGAGGTTCCTTTCTAACTCCAACTCCACAGACAGTTGCGTTAAAGTACAGTGTAACTATACAGATTATCAACCAACAGTAAAGGCAGTTATAGGAGCTGCTACATCAGAGGTTAGCATTGCAATTGCAAGGCTGTTGAACATCCAACTAATGCCTCAGGTAAGGACATTTTCTCAATTGTATCGAGACATGTTTTATTTTGCTGATAAATTATGTTAGAATTGATTGTACTGATCCTGTACTCTTTTCTTAATCATATGTGGAGTATTGCAAATCTAGTTGTGTATCAATATGGTAATACACTCTTGAGTTCAGGTGCAGATGAAAGAAAACAAAAGAAAAGGAAGAAGGAACACTAGGCAAATAATCCTGTCCTTTTATGATTGATAATAATCCTGTTAAACCCTTCATATCCCTCAATACTATGTCTCTCCTGAAACATATCTTTATATTGCATTCAATAGTGATATTTTCTCCCTATTTTATTCCCTTCTTAAAAATCCTAAATATTGATGCCACCAGCAAAAGAAGTTCTGTAGCATGTCACTCTCTGCTCTCACTCTGATGGCCAAGCTACTGCAGTCAGTGGAAAAGCCATGCTGTCTCAAACAAAGCTGCATTGAAATATTGCATCAGAGATAGTAGGAACTGCAGATGCTGGAGAATCCGAGACAACAAGGTGCAGGGCTGGATGAACACAGCAGGCCAAGCAGCATCATAGGAGCAGAGAGGCTGACGTTTCGGGCCTAGACCCTTCATCAGAAAAGGGGGAGGGGAAGGGGGTTTTGAAATAAATAGGGAGAGAGTGGGAGGCGGATAGAAGAGGGATAGAGGAGAGGAAACAAACAGGTCGAAGAGGCGGGGATGGAGCCAGTAAAGGTGAGTGTAGGTAGGGAGTTAGGAAGGGGATAGGTCAGTCCAGGGAGGACGGACAGGTCAACGGGGCGGGATGAGGTTGGTCGGTAGGAGATGGAGGTGCGGCTTGAGGTGGGAGGAGGGGATAGGTGGGAGGAAGAACAGGTTAGGGAGGCAGGGACGAGCTGGACTGGTTTTGGGATGCGGTAGGGGGAGGGGAGATTTTGAAACTTGTGAAATCCACATTGATACCATTGGGCTGCAGGGTTCCCAAGCGGAATATGAGTTGCTGTTCCTGCAACCTTCGGGTGGCATCGTTGTGGCACTGCAGGAGGCCCAGGATGGACATGTCGTCTGAGGAATGGGAGGGGGAGTTGAAATGGTTCGCGACTGGGAGGTGCAGTTGTTTGTTGCGAACCGAGCGTAGGTGTTCTGCAAAGCGGTCCC